TAAAAAACAAAAATGGGATCACACTACTTTTTCTTGTACCACAATATGCATTTTTAAATGTGTCAAAAGAATTTTTTGTATTAATGTATACAGATCTATCACATTTTCTGTGTTTTTTAAGATTAATTTGTTAGAAATCTACAAGTACATGAAGGAAAAAAACCAAAAATGGTTTATAATACCACCCAGGTATTTCCAGTTGATTTTTTAAAATGAAGTAGTTGGAGGGGCGCCTGGGTGGCTCAGTCGGTGAAACATCTGTCTTCCTCTCAAGTTATTGATCTCAGGGTCCTGGGATCAACCCTCTTGTCAGGCTCCCTGCTCAGTGAGGAGTCTGCTTCTCCCTCCCTGCTGCTCCTCCCTTTCTGCTCATGCTGCCTCTTTCAAATAAATAAATAAATATAAATAAATAAATAAATAAATAAATAAATAAAATCTTGAAAAAATAAAAAAGGTAGTTAGAAAATTTAAGCTGTAACATGCTCTTCTCCAGTTTCTCTGAGGAGAAACCACAATGAGAAGTTTCTTGTCATTCCTTCCAGAAAAAAGAAAAGTGGTGCACATTATCCCTACACACGCATTTATATTCTTTTTTTTTTAAAGATTTATTTATTTATTTATGATAGACATAGAGAGAGAGAGGCAGAGACACAGGCAGAGGGAGAAGCAGGCTCCATGCCAGGAACCTGATGTGGGACTCAATCCCAGGACTCCAGGATCGCCCTGGGCCAAAGGCAGGTGCTAAACTGCTGAGCCACCCAGGGATCCCCCGCATTTATATTCTTAAGAGCATGCTTCCCTTTGCTCTTAATAAAATGTCTTGGTATGCTCTGTGACAGTCCATACAGATGTATTACATCATCTTTTTTAGCAATTGCAGAGGGTATTTTGTGGATATACTTGATTTAACCTCTTTCTTATTGGACATTTGGGCTATTTCTAATTTTTGGATATTATACAATTTTGCTAAAATTCTGCCAAATTTTTCTTGAGAAACATATAATTTGTATAATAGCATGTGTTTCTGCAGCGTGGACTCTTCCAGTTGAATAGCATTTGGGTAAGAATCCTGCTAAATTTCTCTTCAAAAAATGGTGTCAATTTATAAACAATAGTATACGAGAGTGGGTGTTTCTGGACTGTCGACTTTACTAAATGAATAGCCTTTTAGATGAGCACACTTCCCAAATCAGAAGCAGTTAGTGTTCTGGGCTTGCTATAGTCCGTGAAGGATCTTAGGTTTTCTTATGGAAGCAGTGTTCACTGTGGCCTTGCAGTACAGAAGTGGCCAAGGCAGGAGTTGTTCTGGGCATCTCCCTGGGGGAAGGCCAGAATTGGGTTGTGGAGAGAGGCACAGGTAGCCTCTTGGCACAGATGTTTTCTTCCAGGCTTTACACACTGGGGCCTAGTCTCTGGAGGTTTCTGAGGCTCCCATTTTGCAGCGTTTGGTGGTTTTGTTGCTGTTAATATTTCTTATGGGTGGAACTTACTTGGAGGCCAACCCTCTATTGCATTTCCTGATAATAGCTGTCATGCAGATCTGCTGAACCACTCAGCCTACTGAACCACTCCACCTCTAGGGCCTTTCTTTCCTCATCTGATTATTCCCAGAAATCACACATCCTGGGTGAAGCAACAGCAGAGTTGAAAACCCTGAAAATGCCCGGATGGTATTTCATCAGGCCACGTTGGGAAGGATTTGTGCTCTGGTGAGAGAAAGTTCCTGGTGGAGGTACAATTGGGAATGGCCCTTGAGGGTCATTATCGTTAGCTTGAACTTGGACAAATCACATGCAGAGGTGGTCGTGCCTTGCCCCCTCCTGCTCCTTTCCTGATGGAGAGTAGCCCTTGGCTTTGAGGTCCATTGACTTCAAACCCAGGCTCCACCACTTGTGAGCTGGGTGATTTAAGCTTATTTTTAGTCTTTCAGAGTCTCTGTTATTCTTGTCTGCAAAATGTGGTAGTAATGCTTTCCTCCTAGAACTGGGGAAGGATTCATGGGTCGTCTGCCGAAGTGTTTATAAGGAACCTGGCACAAGGCAAGCAGGCTCTCAATAAACAGTAGCTATTAATGGTTCCTGGATGCAGTACTAGCCAAGGGCCTAGGGGTTTGGAGTAGGCAGGCTTATACACTTGGGGCTCATTTGTTTACTAGATGTTAGTGTTTCTAATAGCATGCTAAGTCCTGTGCTCTGTGCAGAAGACTTAGACCCAAATCAGATAGCCCCTGCCATCACCTCCAGGAGCTCAGAAACCTTAACCAAGGACCTCCCTGAGGGGCAGATGCATTGGAGCACTCTCTGCCATCCTTCTCTTTGTCCGAGGTAAATACCACCTCACTGCGGCGTTGGGTCACTTGCTGTTGCCCTGGGCTGAGTCTCTTCTGTTCTTGGGGAGTTTCAGGTAAATGTCTTGAAGAATAAAGATGGATGTGCTCAGGCAGTTGATGGGTGCAAGGGAGGCTCTGCAGCTGGCTGGGCTATGTAACCCTGACTCCTCCTGACTGGGCATCAGGCAAACAGGAGTGTTCATTCTCTTCACTCACATCTACTTGCTCTAGGAGCTTGAACAAGTGCTATTTACCCTTTTGAGCCTTGGTTTCCTGTCAGATGGGGATGAATCCCGTCTTAGTGTGTTGCGATGACTGTGGCCCCTACTCAGCTCAGAAACAGTGTAAAAACATTGATTCTGTATTTGTTCAGTTTACCTAGACCTTAAAAACATTGTATCAGTAACAATACAGGCTTGTTTCAAAAATCCACTCTAGAAATACACAAAGTAGAGAAAATGAGTCATTTCTTCCTTCCCACTTATCCCTTTTTCAGATCAAGAGATGGGTGGTATCTTGAGAACAGTTTTGTCTTCCATTAATGGGAATGCTTTATGCATATGAATGTTCATAGGTATAATTTTTTTTTTTTTTTTTTTTTTTTTTTAAGAGAGAGGGTTGGGGAAGGGCAGAGGAGAGGAAGAGAGAGAAGCTTAAGTAGGCTTCATACCCAGGGCAGAGCCCCACACAGGGCTCAGGCAGGGCTCCATCTCACAACTCTGAGATCATGACCTGAGCCAAAATCAAGAGTCAGATGCTTAACTGATTGAGCCAAGCAGGTACCCTTATAGGTATATCTTAATGTAAATATAGGCAAGTACAAGATGTTTTATTTTCTATATGGTTCCCCAGCATAATCATTGAGGTCCTTTCTTGTTCTCTTGAGGAATAAAAGAAAAGGCCATTGTGGCTCTTTGCCACCCTGGATGAGTCATGACACTGTACGGGGCATGGCTTAGAGTAGATCTAAGCAGTGAGTGCAGCCCTGCAGAGAGAGAGCTTCAGGTTGTATGATTTGGTGGTGTCACAAGAATTGGGGGGCCAGGTGGGCCACACACTCTGGTGTGGAGTTGTTTAGGGTAGGGGGTGGCATTTTAGGAATCGTGGGGGGTGTGCAGATGGAGCTGGGAGGGCCCCGGAATATTGTGAGAAGTGTTCCATTAATGGAGTTCCATCAACATCTCTGTGAGACTTGTAAACACTAAGTGAATAAAGTGTGTTTGCAGTGTGCGCACACGTTGTTCCTCTTTTCATCTGTGCTGCAGTGACAAGGTTGGCATGCCTGTGAGAGCCCCTGGGAACACTTGTCCCTTTTTTTGGGTTCTTCCTTTTTGTTACTTCACTGATTGGTGGCCCAGCAACCGTAATCTTCCCAGGTCTCTTGTAGCGTGTGAGGCTTGGGGAATCAATAGCCCATGGGTTCTGGGGGGATACAGTCCCTTGGGCTTTATTGGAGATCATTTAAACCAACTCTTTGCCCTTTCAGCCCCCTTGCCTTCAGCACATTTGGGTTTCTTCATTTACTTCCGTCAAAGAAAAAAAAGGTGGATTTCTGGGGACTGCGTGGTTGGTGGACCATCTCTGTGTAAGCAGACACCCTAGTGCGTGTGGCTTGGCTCTGGGTTGATGTGACATGATGAGTGAGATAGCACAGAACAGAGTGACCTTGGCCTGTTCTTCCTTCACCTGTGGCCACCTTGTGGGGGCGATAGGGCAGCCATTTCTGCAGTGGTTAGGAGGATCCTCTGTGCAGTTGTGACAGTGATTCAGCCAGCCTGGTGAACTATTTCCTTGCTTGCTTGGATTAAAGGGCACCATTACCTCCAGGTGGAATGGTTCATTGCCAGGGAGTCTCTTTGGGGCTCGTCAGGAAGGCACCGTTGCCTCTTTTCTGCCTCCTCCTTGTGGAGGGCCTTAGGAGGGCCACAGCTGGAAGATGGATGAGGCCTTGTTATCTTGTAAGTGAGCTGTCTTCTGCATCCCCAGGGCTCTGGCTGCTGGAGGACATCTGCCTCATGTGTATTTCACCTGGGGAAGGGCCTGGGGTCCCCTTCCTGCCTTTTATTTAGTTCCTTGGGCACAAACTAGAAATATGCTTCAGAGAAATGTCCGATGGTCCACAAATATTAGCCCGGGATGTATCGACGTATGCATGGGGATATTGGTTGTAGCATTATTTGCAGTAGTACACAGCTGGAAATAATTTCCGTATCTATCCGTGGGGGCGTGGGTAAATGTGGCACAGCTAAACAGTGAACTACTCTGTAGGCATTCAAAAGGATGAGGTAGATGGGTGTGTATTTTCTTGTACCAAGAGAAAAAGTGAGCTCTAGTGTAATCGGGGAACTTCCCACACTGGTACAATAAAACTGGCAGACCATCAGCTGCTGCTAGGTTTCTGTGAGCTGAGAAAAAGCCTGAAGGATATCATTCAGGTTAATTGTGATGATCTTTTGATTTGGACTGACTTACTTTGCCTACTTTAGTGTTTTTTGAATTTGTCGTACTGAGGGACTCAGCAGTTGAGTGTGTACCTTGGGCTCAGGGCGCGATCCTAGAGTCCCGGGATTGAGTCCCATGTTGGGCTCCCTGCAGGGAGCCTGCTTCTCCCTCTGCCTGTGACTCTGCCTCTCTCTCTCTCTCTCTCTCTCTCTCTCTCTCTCTCTCTCTGTCTCTCATGAATAAATAAATAAAATCTTAAAAAAAAAGAATTTGTCATACTGAATGTGTGTTTGTAACATCTAATAGTTGCAAAGGTAACCCACATAAATGTAAAACACATACATGTTCGTGGAGCGTGGTCGGGGCCAGGACTGGGCAGCTGGTACATTTTTGACTCTTCCTGGCAGGAGCTTCTGCCAAGCTCTGTATTTTGCTCAGCCCCATCCCAAGCGCCCTGGCTCCTGGTGTTGGGGCCCTGATGGTTCACGGGCATCTACCCGAGCTAGTCATGTGTTTCTGTGCATCTGTCAGTGGCCCTCGGAAACTGTTTTGTTGATCTGGTTAGAAAGAACAATCTGATAAAAATGCCGTCTCCTGTTCTCTGCTAAATCAGATTTTACAATAAAGAACCTAGATTTTGGTGGCATTTGCAAAGTGCTGTTCACTGGCTATCACTCTCTATCTGGTGGTGGAAAAGGAAGGAGAAACTGAAGTACAGGTATGTGTGTGTGTATTCCTTTGATTTGCCAGGTCCCTGTTAAGTTTTGACCCTGGAGAGAGAGGCCTGCGTGTCACACGTCTATCCAACTGCCCATCTCCAAATTGTCTTTTTTGTTGTTGTTAAATTAACTGCATTTTCAAAAGATAAGTTAGGCCAGGAACTCTGCAAATTGCAAGGAGATTTCTAGCCAGAGTCCTTGGTAGGCTTCAGCTGACACCTGAGAGCTGGGTATATAGGGATTGACCCCATGGCCCATGAAGAAAGGACCCGTAACAGTTTAAGTTGGTCAGGAGTGATGACAAGGATCACAGAAAACATCCAGCATATACTGTGGCTTGGAGACTCAAGACAGACCCCTGTGGATGAGGAGCCTGGAGCTGCCATACCTTCTGGGGCCCTAGGACTCTTAGACTCCCTCACTGATGTGGTGCCTGCCCCGACCCCACCTCAGGCCACACTTGACCCCCACACTCACCATGGCCTCAGGAGTACTGGCAGAGCCCAGGAGTACTGTGGGCGTTGTATTCTGGTGACCACGTGGTCATTCTCTGGGGACCATTGACTGCCCGCACTTTGGAGCAGACCTAGATGGCAGGTTGCCCTGGGTTCAAGCTTAGGTGTTACAACGCCCTAACTTGTTTGTAGTGGGCAACTGACCTTGGGCCAGTCTTTGAACCTCTTGGACTTAGTGTCTTGTCTGTAAAATGAGATACACATACCTTTCTCTCGGTGGTTTATTTTATTTTTGGTTCAAAGAACTATCTTTAATTCTGCTTTATTCAAATGTAGTCATTAAATCCATTGAGTTACTTTTGGCTTTCTAAATGTATTGTTTCTTTTTATAAATTTATTTTATTATTTTTATCTTTATGTTTTTATTTATTCATGAGAGACAGAGAGAGAGAGAAACAGAGACACAGGCAGAGGGAGAAGCAGGCTCCATGCAGGGAGCCCAATGTGGGACTCGATCTTGGGACTCCAGGATCATGACCTGAGCTGAAGGTGGGTGCTAAACTGCTGAGCCACCCAGGGATCCCCTGTTTCTGTTTCCCTCTGCATTTAGTCATGTCTTTTTTCTTTCTTTTGTAGAGGGAGAGAGGGTTGGAGGCAGAGGGGGAGAGAGAATGCCAAGCAGGTTCCACTGTCAGTGGTGAGCCCCAACCAGGGCTTGATCCCAGGACCCTGAGATCACGACCTGAGCTGAAACCAAAAGACAGTTGCTTAACCAACTGTGATACCCAGGCAGCCCCATCATGTCTTTTTTTCTAACTTCTAGAACTGGATACTGTTAAGAAATTTAAGGTTTTTAGATTGCTAAATGCTGGGGTGCCTGGGTGGCTCAGTTAGTGAAGTGTCTGCCTTCAGCTCTGGTCCTGATCTCAGGTCCTCTGATCAAGCCTGACATTGGCCTCCCTTCTCAGTGGGGAGTCTGCTTCTCCTTCTCTCTCTGACCCTCCTCCCTGCTTGTGTGCATGCTCGCTCTCCAATAAATAAAATCCTTAAAAAAAAAAAAAAAGATTGCTAAATGTTCTGAGTACAAATTTGCCTTTGTTTTACAAGTTTTGATGCGTAGTGTTCGTTTCTCTCTTACTTTTCTAGATATTCTGCAGTGATAGTTTTGAATTTCCCTTTGATTCAAAAAAATTTTTAAGAGAGATTTTTAAGTTTTCCAACCAGTAGGGTTATTTTTTACTTCTGCTTTCATTATGTCTTGTTTTACTGCACTGTGGTCAGAGATTTTTGCTTTTCAGAATTTGAGTGTTTACTTAAAGTTTCATATTTTGTGACTTTTTTTTGGGGGGGGGGTTAAAGATTTTAAAGTAATCTCTAATTCTACTGCAAGGCTTGAACTCATGACCCAGGGATCAAGAGTCATATATGCTCTGCTGACTGAACCAGCAGGGTGTCCATAGTCACTTTTTAAAAAATATATATTTATTTATTTGACAGAGAAGAGAGCACAAGTAGGCAGAGTGGCAGGCAGAGGGAGAGGGAGAAGCAGGCCCTCCACTGAACAGAGAGCTCGATGTGAGGCTGGATCCCAGGACCTTTAGGAACAAGCTGAGCTGAAGGCAGATGCCCAACCCACTGAGCCACCCAGGCACCCCCCATAGTCACTTTTTGAACATGTTTGCTGATCTACCTCAATCAGATCCTCTGTTTTCTATTTTGAGTTGGCTTGATCCACCAAGGTGTAGAGATTTTTCCCCCAGTGTTTTCTACATGCAATGATTCCCACCCCTCCCTTTGAAGTTACTCTGTGTGTAGTAGGTTCCTGCCAGTCAGTGTTTTCATTATGGATTGCCTTGTGACCCTTATAAATGATTCTCTGTTCTGCTTCTTGTATATGCTGCTTTGATTCAACATTGTACCTGTGAGTTTCATCTACATAGTTGTGTGTTTATTTATTCTCATTGTTGAATAATTTTCTGTTATGTGGATATAATATTGATTTGTTCTAGTGGTGGTAGGCTTTTAGCTTGCGTTAGTGTCCATTTTGAGCTCTTACACGTAGCGTTGTTGTTAATATTTGTACACACATCCCTGGATGTGTAGATGTACTTGTGCTGTTGGGTACAGACCTAGAATGGAATGGTTGGGTTGCAGGGTTGGCACATGTTCAGCTTCAGCAGACAGCTGCCAGTTTTCCAGTGATTTTACCAATTGGCATGTCCACTGGCAGTAGGGGAGAGTTTTCCTTGCCTTACTCGCCAACACTGGGGAGTATGGCCTTGTAATGATGTCAGTTCTCCTGCATTTGAACTCTGGCTTCCATGTAATTCCATTCAGAATTCCAGTAGGCTTTTCTTTTATTGTTGTTTTGTTTGGAAATTGACAAGCTGATTCTGAAATTTATATGAAAATGCAAGGAGCCAAGAATAACCCAAGCATTCTTGAGGAAGAACAAAGCTGAAGGACTTACTGTACTAGATGTCTCCAGACTTCATAAAAGCTGTGGTCAAGAAGACAGCACAGTGTCTTCAAAAAAATAGACAATAGGCTGATAGAATAGAACAGAGATCTTGAAACCAATTTCACCAAAGTAGTCAGTTTATGACAAAGGTGCCACATGACAAAGGGAAAAGATGGCCTTTTCAAAAAAGGCACTGGGACGATGAGTCTTATGCCTCAAATCACATCCAGAATCATGTTTACATGGATGATGAGAGCTAACCATGAAAGATGAGACAGTAAAGCTTGTAGAAGAAAATGGAATATCTTTGCGATCTCAGGTAAAACACAGTTAAGTGGAACATAGAAGACATGACCAAAACACATAAATTGATAAATTGAATGGCATTAAAACTTGTATCCTCTCCTTTTTTTACAAACACAATTTTCTTTCATTCTTTTTTTAAAGCTTTTATTTATTTATTCATGAGACACACACACACACACACACACACACACACAACACAACACAGGCAGAGACACAGGCAGAGGGAGAAGCAGGCTCCATGCAGGGAGCCTGAGGTGGGACTTGATCCTGGGTTTCCAGGGTCACACCCTGGGCTGAAGGCGGTGCTAAACCACTGAGCCACCGGGGCTGCCCCAAACACAATTTTCTAATTGCCCAAATACATTAATCTGTGAGTCTGTTTACCCCCTGGAGCCCTGTGTCCTCTCATCAGGACAGGCTGCTCTCTTGCCTGTTGTACAGAGGCCATCTTGGGCTGTCTTTTGTTGTCATTTCTGGGGCTTCTTCCCTCTGTGTTGGATCACTTGTTTCCTGGATCCCATGCATGTTTCAGTTGGACAGTTGGAACATCAAGTAACTGCAGCTATCTTAAGCTTCCTTAAACAATGAGGACATTATTGCCTCAGGTATGTGGAAGTCCAGAGGGGGGCAGGTTTCCAGTTGGTTGGTCGGTCCATTGTGCCATGTTGTCATTAAGAGGCATCTTTGTCTGGGTGGGTCATATAGCCTTGCTGGACCCAGGTGGGTGTGGGGGAGCCCTCAGAGTGCTGGGGAAGAACGAGATCACTTCCTCTAGGAAGGAGGAAGGGAGACATTTGCCTCTGTGTTGGATTGCTCTCATTTGTGTATATTCTGCAACTTTCTGAGAGGGTGTATGTTTTTAGTCCTCCCATATGTGAGTCTGCAGCTGTCTTCTATTCCTACACTTGACTTGGTCAGCTGAGTATTAAACTCTAGATTGAACATCATTATCCAGGGAGGGGAAAGATGTTGGTGAGAAGTGCAGAAATGCCTCATTGTTGCTCTTGAGACCTCATTGCCATTCTGATTGTTCCTCCCTGGACTGTGTGTGTGTGTGTGTGTGTGTGTGAGAGAGAGAGAGAGAGCACGCGTGTGCAGGGCGCTTTCATAAGCTTTTGGGTTCTTCTCCTTATTCCTAATGTACTTTGTTCTTTTTGTATCTGTTATTTTGAGCACTAGGTGGGCCCTTGCAAGCTTGGGTACTCACCTCTGGGGGATTTTTCATGTTCTTTTTCATTTGATAAAATTTCCCCCTCCGTTTCCATCACTCCTAGTTAAATTTAGATTCCTGGTTCATCCTTTAATTTTGGGGTAGGGGAGGGGATACCAGCATTCAACTCCTTGTTATTTTTTCTGAGCTTTCCTTGATCTTCTTTCATTTCTTCTGTTGAAATTAAAATTAAAACATTTAGAATAGTTTGGATTTATAGAAAAACTAAGTTTAAGTGTCTGTATACCTTGCTGCTTCCCCTGTTACAAAGTTCTAACATTAGTATGATACTTTGTCCCAACTAAGTAATGAACACTGATACATTGTTGTTAACGGAAGTCTATACTTTATTCAGGTTTTTTTCTCTCTCTTTTTTTTTAACCTTAAGTGCTTTTCTTTTGTTTTTTAAAGATTTATTTATTTATTCATGAGAGACAGAGAGGCAGGGGAGGGCACAGAGGGAGAAGCAGGCTCCATGCAGGGAGCCTGACGTGGGACTCGATCTTGGGTCTTCAGGATCAGGCCCTGGGCTGAAGGTGGTTTCCGAGCCACCTGGGCTGCCCCTTAAGTGCTTTTCTGTTCCAAGATACCACATTTAGTTGCCATGCCTCCTTGGTTTCCTCCAGATTGACAGTTACCGGATTTTCCTTGTTTCTGTTGACCTTGACAAATTTTGAGGAGTACTGGCCCAGTATTTTCTAGAATGTCTCTCCAGTGAGATTTGTCTGATATTTTTCTCATGATTAATGTGAAATGGTGGGTTTTGGCCTATCATATATTTAGTACTTCCTAGGGCTTTTTCTGATTGCCCCTTAAGGAAAAAAAAAAAAAGTCTTGTTTCTGTTGCATAGGTGTAGTATCTTCTCTTAATTTTCTGAGAATCCTAATTTTATGTTACTTTCCTTTTTAAAAATCTTTGGTTCCTGATTCTTTTATTTGTCTCTGTTTTTGGTATCTGCCTTCTCGCTGAAGGCTTTTGGATGTCTGTGGTCATGGGCATATCTGTGGTGTCAGGCACCTGCGGCTGGTTGGGTCCTGAGTGGGTGGGTCAGTGGGGGAGCTCTTCCCTGTAGGGTAAGTGGGAGGGAGGCTGCCTGTTTTCTGGAACCCTGAGAGAGGGACTGAGTATGTTTGTCTGCCACCTGGCAGTGAGGCTGATGGCAGAGGGGGACCCAGGCTTGCTTAGGAGTTGTGATTCAGGTTTTCACCAGGCTTTTTTTTTTTTTTTTTTTAGCTTTTTTCCTCACCTTCACCCCCTTGGATTCTGTCTTCTCAAGTCAAGTCTAGACTTACCTTGTTTAATTTATCCAGAGTGGGAGGGGATCTTGCAAGAAACCCTCCCCTGGTTAAATCCCAGTAAGAAGTACCCACCCCCTCTCAGGGCCTCCTGAGCTCTCTCCAGTCCTGTTTGTAGGATCCTTCAGTCTGTGAGATCTGTTTCCACTGACTATTCCTTGTCTGCCAAAATTGTCCTTGACTTTTGGGTGCCCTTTGTTGTTTATTTTCATTTTAGGAGATATTGGAAGAGTGAGCTATAAATGCTGGTAGTCCTTTTGCCTTGTTTAACCAGAA